TAGTGATGCACACGACCGACAAACATTAGTTGGAAGTGACATCTGTAATGATATATCTGTGAACCCAAAGCAGACTTGGCTTGGCGAATTGTGGATTTCTTATCCAAATTATCGTATTTTATTCGCATTCCATTTCCTTTTGCTTTTTCTTTCCTTCTCTTCTAAGCTTGTTTGAGAATTTTGCTTTTGGTTTCGTCAGGGCGGACCTACATTTGAAAAAGAGTTAGACATAGCTCGTATCTCTATCCCAATAAAATTTGTAAATTTTAAAATATTGTAATTTTATACCTTCCCTGTTGAGGAAACGCAACATATAAGGCCTCGGTATTTGCCAAAACGAAAACAATCAATATAATGTATAAAGTAAGCCCGAATTAGAAAGAAGAGAATTGTGTCCAGGTGTGAGACTGACTTTTTTAATTATTTTTATTTCTTAAAGGATTAAAAAATCAATAAAGGAGCAACAGTTGTTTTATTTGGTTGAACAGAAGTAAAAGGGTTTTATTCATGTTGGGTCCTAATCAAAATCATAAAGTTAGAAAGGCTTAAAATTCTCTAGAAATTTTTTAATTGTTTGTCTTTTAAATTATTAATCTCTTAAGTTATATTTTGTACATTTTAATTTATAAACTTTATATTATTATTATAATTAATCTCAAATAAAAAGAATTTTATCATGTGAATTATATATATGGTCATCTCTATTTTATTGACTTTATATTATTACTATAATTAACCTCAAATAGGAAGAATTTTACCATGTAAGTTATGTGGCCATTTCTATTTTATTGCTCTATTCTCGTTAGTGCTATACTAATATAAATGTAGTTTACTTAGACTTAAAAGTACAAAAAAATTGCACTTATAACACACATAATAATATAATTTGTATTATATATTCAAAATTGTTTTTGGACCATGACTGTTGGATTTTGGGTGAATATATGGCTTATATATTAGTCATGAAAACATGTAATAATACACTGAAAGAGTAAGTGATTAGTCTGTATTTGTCTTACTTTTAAAAAATTAAAAAAA